TTCAACTTTTTTTTGCTAATTATGTATTCGCTCGAACTTTGTTAAAACCTTAACTGTATCTCGAACAACAACCGAAGTTGTAGGAGGAAATTCGCCTATTTTACCGTTCTAGGGATCCCCCTTTTCCAAATTTTAATATCAACTCAAAATAATTTAAAAAGACAAATTACAATAAAACGGTTTATTATCCAACTATCAGAAATTTCACAACACGCTAAGGAAAAGAGGAAGGAGCAATTAAATAATTAAAATTGTAAAGGATTAAAAAATATATATAAAAATGGGGAATATCACGCTTCCGACAATCGGTGCGAGTGTGTGGGCTAAATTTGGAGAATCCGTGCTTCTCGCATGTACAACTGTATGAGGCCAGCTCGCGTCGGAAAACCTTCCGATTTATTCGTGTACACACCAGAGGGAAAAACAAAAAATATCGTGTATCCACGAGCACTCCAATAAATAAATAGAATTGAAACGACACTTTGAAATATTTTTCCGATGAAAATGAATAATAATAATAAGTTTCAATAAAAATGATAAAATGTAAATTGAATTTTATTATAACAAGTTTGCTTGAATTTCGTTTCTTCTGAGATCGCAGCAATGTGCGACGGGTAAGCTAGTTTACTATAATTTTGATATACTAAGGTTTCTCAATTGAAAAAAATTTTAAATATTAATCAAATATATACAAAATAATTCAAACCAAATTAAACATTTAATTTAATAGTTTGTAATAGTATACAAATAAACCATAATTATAACAAACATAATATTACCTAGCATTTTACTGACATACGGTTCAACGTCCACATCTTGTAGATGTTGGTGTGTATGAGCATGATACAAACGAAGAGTACTATCCAAACGAATAGTAATCCAAACACCATCACCTATCCAAGCCATCTGACGAACTTGACTTTCTTTACGAGGATGTGCATCAAATGATTTCTAAAACAAAAGAATTTAAAACATTTAAACTATACTTACATCATATAAAAATTTGTTAAACACAATGAATTTGATAGATAAAATATAAATCTGCTTAAATGTATAATCTACATACTTTTTATGCAATGTATGAAAATGTATTGTTAAATAAATTTGTTTAGAAAAGAATAATCATAAAATTTATTTTTCTTAATAAATTGAAAGATAAAATAATGAAAATATATGTATATTATGTATGTTATATATGCAATCTGGCCAAGGTCTTTATTTAACACAAGGAACGATTGGAGTCTCATGCATACTTTTTTCTTCATCTTTGACACAGCTTGTTTCATCTTTGTGTGCAACTGGTTTGGACAAAGATCAATAGTTAACAAGTTGGTTTTTCTGTTGGTATCTTGTAATGTGGCTTGTGGTTTATGTGATGGGTTTACTATTAATGTCTGTGAGAAAAGTGCATCAGTTTGTGAATTTATTATGTTGTTTTTGTAGTATACAGATTATTGTTTCAGTCTTTACAACTTGGCTTCTAGTTTTTGTTTGAAAGTATCAATTGTGGTTTTCTGGCCTTGGTGGTAAGTAGCTGAATTGCTGCTGAAGTATTTTAGCTGGGTTGATGCGTGTTGTGTGTAAATATGGTGGTGAATTTGTTTGTAATGTAGTAGCCATACTTGGGCCAGTTCTGAATTAACCACTGGTAGCCAGGAGATGTTATCACTGTCATTAATTTTCTCAATATTATATTAAATTATGGCATTTTATTGTGTCTTACCATATATTTCTTTATCAATTTTTAAATTATTATTTACAGTTTGTATAAAAAATGAGATGAATGAAGTGCATTGCAAAGCAATATAAAACACCAGGGTTGGACTGCCATAGAAGGTCAGAGGTAGAGCCTAGTATTTTTCTAACATCACTAAATCAGTAAGAGTGTAAAGGAAATTGTATATTATTCATACATATATACTTTTCTCATTTTAAGCTGCAATTATAAAACATTATGATTTTCAAATGGCACATTTTTACTTATCAATATTTATTAATAAAAATTCAATTATTGATTTGATAAGTTTGCATTTATTAAAGCAATAATTTATTAAAAATGAATTTTTTATTGCAATAATCAAATCAAACATAATAAAAATTTAAAAAGTGACAAATCTTATTGTTAAATTCTTTTTATATTTTTCACTAGTTCATGAGAGGTGACAAGTCTAAAAAAAATCAATGGAAATTTTCAGAAGTATAATAAATTTATTTTTTAAAAATGAAAAACATGCTTCATTTTGGAAACCAAATTAAACTTTATTCAGAAGATCATTATCAGCTGCAAAAATTATCAAGTGCTTTATCAAATGTTATTTTGTTAAATTCATTTCAAATGTGGATTTAGTTTATTCAGCTGAATTACCAGATCAACTGCTACATATTTGATAATATTTACTTCAATAAAAGTTTATTTTCATGCTCTTTTAAGTTATAATTCTATTATGGTTCATTTTGATTCATTTTGTTAAATTATGCATTTCTAAATAATTGTATATAAAGTTGACTAGCATTAATATGAAGTTCTAGGAAAATAGTAGTTATTTTGCTTTAACAAAAATTTATATTAACAATTTTCAGGGTCAAGGTTGTATAATTTGCTGAGTTAAGGCTTGATAAGCAATCAAAATCTCTAAATTATAATATTTTGAATTAATTTACTAAATAAAGTAAAATAAAATAAAATTTATTTACAAAAACAAATTAATGTTCTAAATAATTTCAAATCAAACAAAATAAAGAGGAGACATTGTTCATTGTTCAGTGTGGAGTAATATATCAGAGTGGTTAAATAAATCTAAAAAAAATCTGTAATTTTTTTTCTGTTGAAAATTGAAAAGTAGAAAATACTTTTGGTGCCAAAAGAGTAAAAAAAGGAACCAAATCGTGCATCATGTATGCACTCTCCAACATGCAAACTAACACATGTTAACATGTGAGTGCATTCATTTAAAAGGGTGGGTGTCCTTAAACTTTAACCCCTATTTCTGAGTACAGTAGAATTGTCTGTTTAAACCAGATGTTTGAATTGTTCTACAATCAGAGGTCAACCCAGTATTTGCATACTTGGAGAAGAAAATCTGTTCAATTCAAAATAGAAAATTTGTTATAGTACTACTTTTTATTGTTCATGTTGAAAAGTGTAAAAAACAACCATATTGGAAATAGATTATTTCTTGGAGGTTGTGAAGGTAATTTAGTTTTGTTTTATGAATTCTGGTAAATTTTTGTTTGCTTTATTACTGAATGAAAATTAATGTGACAATGATGTTTTGTCAGGGCAATGGCAAAATTTGCTTTAATGCAAGAATTACACAGTTGACAGAAATTTAATACAGTCAAATCACCTTAAAACAAACCTTAATAAAAGTAATGTCAATGTTTGTTTTACAGTAAATCGACTGTATTCTCACTTTCTATAAAATAGATCAGTAAAGGCATAAATTATGCAAATCGTATTGATGCTAGTAAGATTTTGATATAAGGAGAAATATACGAATATATAGACTATACATATATAAAAATAATTATCCAATTAAGAAAGCAAAAACAATAACATACAAAACAGAAACAAATAAGATAATTAATCTTCAAAAGATGTTACAGCATAAAAATCTAAATAAAGATTACATTACAAAGAATTAGTAGCCTATCTTAACAAAAAAGTATGATTATTGCCTATTTTGAAACAGTGTCTTCTTTTATTTGTTTTTTTTTAGTGTCACAACTAGGTGCATTGATAGACACTGGGCAAAATGAAGAAAAGAAAGTTTGGAATTTAAACCATACAAAAAGCCAAGCAAAATCCAAAAAGTTCTAAATTATAATTCAAATACTCCACTATATATAAAAGAAAACATATTTAGGTATAGAATATAAAAAATTATAAACAGAACAAGTACAATGCAGAATTGAAACAAATATATAAAAGAATTAAAAGAGAAATTTAAATTAAATGGTTACCCCAATAGAATAATACAAAAATCAGAAAGTAAAATCAGCTATAAACATCAACAGAACAAACCAAAAAACTATAGCACCAACATAAAGTATGTATCTTTCCCTTATATCAAAGGTTTCTTTGAAGAAATAAATAAAGAATTTAACAAAGTAAATATTAAACTAGCCCCAACCTATGAGAAACTGCAAAAGAGAATACAAAAAATAAAGCCTGAACAAAGTAATAAGATAGAAGATACATATAGCACAGCAAATGTAGTTTATTCCATACCATGTGCCTGCAAAAACCCGAAAAATTCTATAGGTGAGACAAAAAGGAAACTAGAGATATGATGTAAAGAACACATTGCTGATTTGAAATATAGAAGAGTAAATTCAGTACTTTACAAACATTGCACAATAAATGATTGCAATATTAACAGAGAAAAAGTAGAGATTTTATACAAAGAAAGAATTGGTATAACAGAAAGTTTAAAGAAAGTTTTGAAATTATAAAAAGCCACAAGAGTAACATCAATAAAAATTTAAGTATAAAGATTCACAAAAATTGGTTTAAAATATTATAATAAAAAATGATTGTTATTATTATACAAATATTTTTAAAAACTTTTTAACATGCCAACGAGATTAAAAAGTTTTTTAGCAGGCCAATGAGATTAAAGTAAACCCGGTAAACAAGTACATCACAAGTATAAGCTGAGTGCTGTTGAGGGTAATGCCAAGGAATGTTAACTGAAAAATTTTAACCGTAACTATTGTAATTCTATAGTAAGATGTATATTTATTAACACCTTACAAGATATCTCAAAAGTAAAGATACGTTGTATATATCATAATATTCAGTGAATGATCAGTTAACGAACAGTTCAGACTATGGACAAATCAGATAATGAACACTTTCGCAAAAGATTTTTATGTTCAGACATCTCACAGAACAAACACAAGAAGAAGCAACAAATAATGAATACTGATTAGTCTTCCCTTGTCTTCAGGCAACAATTCAAAACTTTTTCAAAGCACAGGAGACATCAACATCGACACTCAACCCAGTATATGCTGATCGGATAGTATTCCTCTGAACTTTGAAACTCTCCCTTGTAATTCCAGCCTTTTATTTTTCTGACAGAAAATTTTTTTTTATAGTATTTGTACAAGAGACTGTCAGGTAAGTACTCTTCAAGTTTTGCAAGGTTTTTTATTTTCAAAAGTTGAGAATAAAATAGCAAAGGTAGAGAGTGGGCAGAAGATGTCTGATATTGCTGGGAGGTATGGCTTGAACAGGTCTACAGTAGGTCACAGTTCAATCTTACTTTAAAAAAATACAGTGTAATCAAGAAGATTCAAGCAGCTAAAGGAGTAACAAAAATCACATCTTAGAAATAAAGAACATTAAAGAGCTCATGATAAAACCTGAAACGGATCTGACGACAGAAGAATGCCAAAAAACTTGGTGAGATATGTTTTCTTCTGAAAAAGAGAATTAATGCCAATATCTTCTATTAAAGATCTTTTGAAGAAGTGGGAGGATGTCAGAACAATAATCTTAGAATGGCATCCAAACCAGGTTGAAATTAATAGACTTGGGGATCTCTACAATTATAATGCTATTAATTACTTCTGAAAAATCCTGAAGAAGAGAGAAAAGCAATCGACATTAGACAGATTCTTTAACCCCCACAAACAGAAAAAATATGACTATTAAGAATGCAAGACTGTGTATATATGTATTTTTATTGTTACATATAAACAAACATAGTAAGAAAGTATATATTTTTTATTTTTTGTAGTTTCTAGAATGAATTAATCAAATTCTCATAAAAACCTATGGTAAATCAATTAATCAGTTAACAAACAATTTGGATAGCAAACAAAGTCTTGGAACGTGTTATGTTCGTTAACCGATCACCCACTATACAACATTTTGTGACAGAAAATTTAAGTCCATGTTTTATTATGTAGTCAACAGAAGAGAGGCAAATGCTTGAAATGTGTATTGGTCCACAAAATATTACAGAATAAAGAGTGATGCAAAAAGTGCCCAGTGTCTATCAATGCACCTAGTTGTGACATAAAAAAAAACAAAAAAGTATGATTTAAATATGATAAATGCAGCTTTTAAAAATTATTTTTAAAATTGTATAATATTTGGGTATTTCAAGTACTGAAAAAATTTGGATATATTTTAGTAATTGGATAATAAATAGTTGTATACTTGGGTAAAATCTTCCCTACCATTCAGCATATAATAATGATGTAGTTATCACTTATCTGTGTTTTGTTTTATTGATCATTTTTATCACAATCTGTAACACAGCTGTATATATAGATCTGTATTCATAAAATTTAAAACTATTAGTCAGTAAAAGGCCATCTTTATTAATCAAATGCCTATAATTCAAATTGAAATATGTGATAACTGATTATGTAAAAATTGATTTTCTTTAAACTTAAAAAACTGATTTGTTTTAAACTTTACAACAAAAAAACTTGAATTAAAAAACCACCACCATTCCTTAGTGCTTATGGACTGGAGGAAAACATGTTAGGAAATACTTACCTCAAGGGATAAATATCTGGGATTTATGACATGTATTTGATTACGATAACCACACCAAATTTTATCATGAACTATAGACATGCAACGAATGGAATGGTGTGGTTGGCCAAGATCTAATAAATGATAATTTATTAAGTCCCACTGACCATCTGTAAATGAAAAAAAATTAAAATATAAATATATTAAAATATTTTTAGAATACAAATTTCAAAATAAAATTCTCTCTCATAGTACTGCATTTTGTTTTTATTACAATGTGAAATTTATATATAAAAGCAAAATTTATTACAAAAAAAAATTACATAAATATAGTTTAATGCTATCTCTATGAAAATTTCATGGAGATAGTGCAAGTTTCTGATTTACTGAAAAATTACTGTAATTTCACAAGGCTAGCTTGTAGGTTACAGTAGAGATCTACCAGATGTGATCAATATAGTCCAAGATCCCTTTTATAAGCAGAAATTCACATAAAACAGTGAACACTATTAATTATTAAGTATTTCTCATATCAATGTACTTATCATATATTTTTTAAAATATGAATAAAGCAAATAAACAACATATTAACAATAATTAACATGTTACTGTAAATCAAAAAAATTTTAAACATTTTCAAAAGCAAACTTCCCCCCCCTCTAAAGTATGCACTTTAAGCCACTCTCCCCATTAAAAAATTTACTGATGGATAGATCAGTGAATTATTACATCTTAGTGGAATGTTTATTATGAATGATTATATCAGGGATCTTCTTTAATATATAGTTGTTAATAGGGTAAAAACAGTATAGAGAACAGATGCGTAGATGTGACTTAATGGAAAATATTGTAATTGTAAAATAGGAAAGTGATATGAAATGAGTATTGTAGATATGCAGTTTAAAAGTATGGCCAATCTTAATGAAATTAATTTTAGACAAATTAATTCCATTAAGATAAATTTACTACAAATTAAATGGAATTTAATTTGTAGTAAATGATTTATATATTAAATTATTCAAATATATACATATGATCATTAAAAAACATAAAAGTATAATCATAATAAAAATAAATTTAAAAATTGTTATTAAATAAAAAAATTCACTGTTAGCAAAAAGATAAAAATTACTCAACCACAAACCTTTACGGTGCGAAATTAAATACAAAAATCCGGTTAAAAAGTTCCCACAAACGTTTTCGAACCCACTTAGGTTCTTCTTCAGGTGAAAAAACTTAAATACTCAAAAAACATTCGATGGAATCCAAATTTGAATGAGAAACGATCAACTAATACGATGAATTCTGCCGCTGTCGTCATCAATACGCATGCGTATTTTACCGATGTAAACATTTTTCTTTTTATAGAATATTTTCTCTGTCCTGTATAAGCATTTCCCACGCTAGGGATAGAGATAATTCCTCCTTATTATTAATGCACCTGTTGTTTCGGGCCGCTTTATATATAGACATTGCCTCTATCCATCTTAGATGTTCCGTATGTGGTGTGGTGTGAATGATTCTAGCCTCACTAAACTTAGGTTCGATATCTGGATCTGTGGCATAACGAGCGAGTGCCGTGGTTATTCTTCCATGCTGTATGTCTGCGATGTGTTCTTTTAATCTGACAGATAACGAGCGTTTAGTGGATCCAATGTATAATAGCTGTTCATCACATCGATGATCCTTCAATGGGATGGTATATACTCCCGAAA